GCTGATGTCAATATGTTCATCCCGAACTGCAATAAAGCTGTCCCAGCAACTGCAGTCCCAGCTGCCATCTCCCCTCCTTTGGGTGAAAATGTGCCGTTCAGACCCTCTCGTCTTTTGCTATGACAATACTCTGTTTTAATGAGGTTTTCATTGTTTTTCAGTATCAATATAATCCTGGATTTCAGGTTTCAAAGGCAAAATTTCCATGACACATGGGGCTTCCTTTGACAAGCAGATGACAGCTGAGATTTCTGCCCTATGAAAATTACTGACTAATTGCATAGCGGGTTGTCATCATTCCAAGTGTCACGAAGGGAATTTAGTTCTCCAGTTTGCTTTCCAGTGTTTTATGGGAGATACTTTTCTTAGGGGTATAGCTAGGAGATTTAAAGGTTGGAAAAATGTATTCCTCTACCTCCTTTTTGTGCGGGAGAGAGTAGGCGTGAGCCGCAAATGAACAGGCAGCCTGTCACTGTGACAGTGTGTTGGGTAGATCCCATTTTTTCCACCTTAGCATTGGCAAAAGCCAAACGCACATATGTCCTTCCCCAGGTTAAGAATGTTCCTCAGTTTGCAGGTTGGGCAGCAAAGAAAGGAGAGTAAAGAGAAGCAGAGCTACTTGAGAGGCCTCTTTCCTGGAGCTGTCTTCTTCACGGCAAACACCTCTGAAACAAGAGCTTCTCACTATATGCCCGCGCCAGATAAGTGACCCTAAAGCCAGGTGACAGATGGGGTCTCCTGAAGACAGGGAGAGGTGGAGAGAGTCAGAAAGAGGGCCCACAGTCAGCTCAACACCTACAGGCCCTGTATGTTTTAGCTCTGCCAGATCCAATTTTTTAAAAGTCAATTCTGGGAGAATTAGAGAATTTAAAAAAATTAAGAATTATTTCAATGGCAGTTCCTATATATATTCAGTATAACCCGATTTAAATTTTCTCTTGGCTTCCCACCCCTTCATTCCCCACGCGCTTTCACAGAGCAGCCTGCCACAGGCCATTTGTGCTCGGGCCTCTCTTGCACAGGGCATGCTGCCCCCCGGGCCTCCGTCCTGGTGGGCATCTGCACTGGCTGCATGCACTCAGTCATGGGCAAGCCTTTCCGAACCCTGGCGGTGGTCACTTCCCCTCAGAACGGGATCTGGGGAACAACCTGAAGGGACCACAATAAAGCAGAGAAAGCATGTCTCTGCAGTTGGGTGGGATGTGCAAAGAGGGATGGGAATAGGGTGCCTCGGTGCTGTCAGTGTGCTGCATTTTATTTGGGAAACGAGACAAAATCTTCCCATGATCAGCCACTCCATGTGACATCCCAACCCACACTCTGCTACTGACATTTTATCTCCCACTGAACAGGCCGGCTGTTGTAACATTCTCAGGATTCTTAATTTATGTCTTGCAGGATCTAAAATCAGATGGCAGGGACTTCAAGAAAACAACCAGTGTTGACAGACACCTTTATACTTCAAGAAGCTGCTACACCTTAGTGCTACTAAAAGTTGGGGAACATTTTCTCTTTCATGTTCCAAAATATGTGCACAAGACAGTGGCATGGAGATAAGAAGCTGATTTAAGTCATTTAATTTCCCTTTTCATTAAACTCACAAGACTTTCCCTTCCAATCCGTGTTTGCTAGCAAGCTTATTTCTTTTTCTTACATGGGGGACTGCAGTATTTAATTAATTTAGAGTAGTGAAGAAAAATTCATGGTAACCAGTTTCATTTTCCAGCACTGGAAATTGAACCCAGAGCCTTATGCATGCAAGGTGTTATGGGTTGAGAACTGGTGGTCAACTTAACGCCAGCTGGATTACATCAGCATGCATTGAGCAAAGATGTTCCACCTGAGGAAAGTTGCCAGGATAAATAGGTGGAGAAGAAGGGCGGTGTGGAGGGGTGAGGCGTTAAGGAAGCATTGTGGGTTCTCCTACGAGTTGCTGTTTGAGCCGTTGGTTCTCCTGGAGAAGCTTTTGTCTTCACATTGAGCATTACTTCCTGGCTCTGGAGGGGAAGACATGTGCTGCCTGGTCTCCAGGATGAACTCGTCACGCTGCTTCCTGGCACGTACCCGACTGTGCTTGTCGTTGGAGGAGCTCGGGGCCTCTGTGTCGCTGAGGACAGCTGTGGTACCTTTCAGGATAGCCCTGGTCTTTGTTGCATGACTTCTCGGCTCCAGCGTAGAACCCTCATCCCACCAGCACAGCTCCTTCACCCTGCTGGCATAGACTTTCTGGCTTCTACCGCTGACCCTTGGGTTTTCCCGGCACGAATCCGTAAAAGAGACTGGTGTGAGTCCTTCTTGAGGACTCTGGACCTCCAGTTGGACTCATGGGAGGCATTGTCCTGAGCTCTGGGTTTTTATTTGGACTCATGTGGGACATTGCTGTGGAATTTAGGCTCTTGACTAAATAATCTATGTCTTTGGTGTTGCGGATAGATTTCCTGCATTTTCCTGTGTTAACTTCTAGTGACCATTATAAAAATATTATAAACTCCATGTCCTAATCCTAGTTGTTCTCTGTACAACCCCTGACTACAACACAAGGCAAACACTTTACAATGAGCAACAGCTATGGTTTCTTTTTCTTTTTTGAGACAAAGCTTGCTATAAATCCAGACTGGCTTCAAACTTGTGGCAATCCTCCTGCCTCAGCTTTGAGCATTGGACTTAGGGTCATGGGCCACCATACCTGGGTTCATCTACAGCCCTTTTAATTTTTTTGCTTTTAGGCAGGATCTCATTAAGTTGCCCAGGTTGACCTCAAATTTGTGATTTTCCTGCCTCAGTCTATTGAGTAACTGGGATCACAGGCATGTTTCACTATGTCTGACTTTAAGATTCTTATATATAGCCAAAAACTATGGAAAAGTCAAAAGATGAAAGATAAGATCAAAAGTTTAGTGCAATTTTTACAATTTTTTGACTTGTTTATTTTTAAAATGCTAGCGAGGGGAGACATGATGAAATTATAATTTTTACAAAAGGGGCAGTGGAGGTTCGGAAAATGTAAATGTACTCAAATCACTCAGCTGTGGCAAAATTGGAACTCAAACCCAAATCACTTGGTGGGGGTAGTACTGGAGATTGGACTCAGAGTTTTTGCATGAAGCTACATGCCTAGCCATTTTTATTTAATTAATGAATTTATTTCTGGTACCAGGGACTGAACTCATGACCTCCTACTTGCCAGGCAGGCACTTACGCCACTGAGCTAAATCTCCAGCCCTTCTTTTTATTCTTTTGCAGAAGTTTATTTGAAAAAGTAAAAGAGTGAGTGAGAAACTGGCATTGCAGAGTGAGCTTGGGCCAAATAAAAGAAGAAAAAGCAAAATAAAAGTACACTCTAGAGTGAGTCGGGTGCGCTATTGTGAGGAAACCCACAATAGCCTTATTTTTTATTTTGAGGTAGGGCTTGCTGAAGCGTTAAATTGTTTAGGCTGCAGTAGAAATTACAGTCTTCTTGTCTCAGCCTCCTAGAGTGCTGGGATTATAGGCCCTAACTATCATGCCCAGGTACATACACAGGTATAGCACAGCTTTGTTTTGTTTTTGTCTTTGTTTTTTTGAGACAGGATTTCCCTATGTAGTTCAGGCTAGCCTTGAGCTCACTTTGTAGCCCAGGTTAGCCTCAAACTCACAATGATCCTCCTGCCTCAGGCTCCTGAGAGCTGGGATTACAGGCATGTATCCCACACCTGGCTTATAGCACAGTTTTGTAAAAGCAGCAAATTTGAATTTGCTCAGCTCTGAATCTGTGGAAAACTTTGCTCTCCAGCATATTCAGGTAATGAATATTTGGGGGTTTGGGCTTTTAGAGGTGCCAAAGTGAGGATGCTTGGTTCTGGGGTCTTAACCTTGATTCTTCTCTTAAAATGGATTTGTACCTGTTTAGCTATTATGCAGTGCTTAGGAATTCAACTGCTGACCAGGACAAGTTGCTTCATTTCTCTGGGCATCACTTCTACTGTAAAATGGAGACATGATAACAGCATTTACTGTTGTGAAGATTAAATAACCACGGAAAATTCTCTATCAAGGTTAGTATCATCTCTGTTTGCTACATGCTTTCCTAAGTGCTGTATAATGCAACTCTAATGTGCTTGTGTAAACCTCTGGATGGATGATACAGCTAAGAAAAGCCCTGCTCCATCCCTGAAGAGCAGAAACTGGTTTATCCCTTTAATACAGTGCTTTGCAAACAGTGGAAGCTTAACAGCATCTCCTGCTTGAACGAAATAATATCAGAACTGAAAGCAAAGTGCCACATCTTTCAGGCCTAAGGACCAAACTTCACAAGTCACTCCCATTCATTTATCTCAAAAAGCAGAGGCCAGGAAAAGGATTTGTGAACAATCCCCGCAAAACTCAGGTAAAAATAAAAACCAGTTCTGAGAAACTACGAATTTTACCTGCTGGTGCCTGAAGTAAGGTTTTATGCGCACGTCCTCTGCACAAAGCTCAGTAAGCTGTTCATGTGTTATTGGGTAGAAACCCTGAACAGCCCCTCGGTAGGTGCTGCTCTCACTACCAGATTGCCAGGCAAAGCCTGGCCGACGGGTCCATATGGGCAGACTGAGTGGGGGGCCTCACGAGGTGACAGATCCAGGCAAAAAAAGTAAAACTAGGAGAAACCCAAAGACCAGGTAGTGGAGCCGCAGCACTAGCCGCCCCGCCCCGGCCCAGCCTTGATTTAGTCTCCGCCCAGTCCCCGCCCCTCAGACCCCGCCCAGAGGCCGTCCACCTGACCAAGCGGTGCCGCTGCCGCCAGACTCTGTTGGTGGGGCGCTTGCGCATTTCTGAAGGCGTCTTGGCACTGCCCGAACCTAACTAGGGGAGGAGAGGGAATCTCGTATTTTCTACAAATCCAAATTTCGCAGTTATACGTCCTATCCTAGAGCCAATTTTACCTTTAGTGTTCGTGACAACATGAATTCTCATTCCTTAATGAAGCCTAAAGAGGGGAGGAATGTTTTGAATTAGGCGCTCTTTGGGCAGCCAGTATTCTGGTGCGGGGTCCTTGCGCTCTGCCTTGGGACAGCAAAAGGGGGTGTTGGGTCCTTTTCTAGGTCGGTCGCGCAGGCAGCGGTTGTGGGCAGCTGAATCCAGGAGCTATGTATTACAAGTTTAATGGCTTTACTCAGAAGTTGACTGGAGCATGTGCTTCGGAGGCTTATTACCCGCAGGTACAGAGCGCGCGGCACCGGCTTGTACAGGACGAATGGCCCAAGCGTCCGCGACAGGCTGTCTCAGCTTCAGAGGCCAGAGGGGTGTCTTCCCTTGCGTCGGTTCGGTTCGCACGCACCTCCTGGTACCTTTTCACACTGGCCTGCAGTGCTCCTCTAGCTCTCTTTTTGTGTAGCTGTGTCCTAGCCGAGGTTGGCCTGGCACAGAAGTTGGGTGTGTCGCTGTGTAAGGGTCAAGGTGACCCCGGGACTTTTCCTTAAGACGGATGACTCGTGGTGTTGGTTGGGCCCAAAATACGACCCACCTGAGTTTGAGATGCGGCGCTTTCCTTGTTTTAAAAGTCTGACTTGGCCTTCATGACGTGCCAGTATTACCCCATCCACAACCCCAAAGTCAGCCTCACCTGGTTACGAGACCGGAGAGAGTGGTTGCTCCTGGAGAAGTCGTAGGGCAGGAAGGGCCATGTGGTCTGATCTGGATTTGGTAGAGAATTGCTGGATTAGAATAGGAAGTTACATGCATCAGGGTTATACTTTCTCAGCTATAACGTAGTTAACAATACTTGTTATCTGGGTAACCTGAAAAGTACTCTGCTATCACTCAGATCTGCTAGTTGGCATTTCAATCTCCATCTTTAGTGAGTAGTGTAAAAATGAGATCTGTTTTAGAGTCTCATTTATGGGCTCAGATACTGATTTTTGTTGTTTTAATTATGTGACCTTGACCGAGTTACTTTTCTGTGTGTGTTAGTGTGAGCACAGTTTCAAACGGGGGCTTTGAACTAAAAATTGGTGTATTGAAATAAAACTTGCACTCAGAGCAGGATTACCTTAATATGCATTTGGTTATAAATAGGACTTTCAGATTTCTAGCACCCCTTAAAATGTGTTTCACTTGAGAGTTTGAACTTGTAAACAGATTTCTTAGCCTGGCATAGTAGAACAAGCCTGTAATCCCAGAATCCTGGAAGGAAGATCCAGAGTTCAAGTCCACCATGGGCAATTTAGCTGTGTCTCAAAGTAAAATTATTTAAAAAAGAGGGGCTGGGATTGAGTTTAATTCAAAGACCCTGGGTACTGGGGAAAAAATTAAACTATTTTAAAAGAAACCATTTGTGTAGGTGTTATATGAATTGTGATTTCAAGATGATTGTTACGTCGCTCCAGCTAGGTGCTCTGATTTTGGTAATTAGGAGTAAATTTTTTGTTTTTTGGAAATATTAGCACAATATAGAATGAAGATGTTTGTAACTTTTAGTATTATGCAAAGCAAATAACGCAATCAGTAACCTAGTAGAGAGAAGCTAGCCTTATAACAACAGTACACAGCTGTAAGTTACCCTTCTATGTCATGTGCCAGAAATAAATTGAGGCCAGTAAATACATAAGATGCTTCACATCATTAATCGTTTGGGAACCACATATCAAGACCGGGATGAGATACCACTCCCCATCTGACAAAATGCCTTTAATCAGTGTAATACAACAGCAAGTAGGATTGTTGGAGCTGAAGAAAAATTGGAATCCTTTTACATTGCTGGTGAGAATGTAAAATGACACAGCCACTCTGGAACAGTTTGGCAGTTTTCTTAAAATAGGAAATAATTTTCTTGTCCTAATTAAGATGGCTGGATGAGATTCTGGGTGCAGGAGACTGAGAGTGAGGAGAAAGCGGGCTGGAAGAGAATCACTGAGGTGACGATCTCATCTGTGGATGGTGCAGGTGGACCTTGAAGGAACTGTGATAATAGGACTTAATTTTGTGAGAAATGAATAGGGACTTAGTAACTTGGTGCAGATATTTGTGGTAGACTTTGTACTGTTACTGAGCAGATTGGGAATGAAGAAGAGACTGCAGAATGACAGGAGAATGGAAGTGTGGTGCCTTCCATAGGGACTGAGCTATTGGGGGTGCTTGTGCATGGTTTGGATATGCTGAGTGCAAGGGACTTAGAGACGAGTTGCATCTTGTAGTTGGAGATGAATTGATCTTTGTGGATTGACACTAGTTTCCAGTCCTAAACCAGAGTGAAATGGTTCATAGGTTTCTGAAAGTAAAAAGTTTTGCTGGGCATGGAGGTGCATGCCTATAATTTTAGCAGGGACCAGTTAGGAAAAGTGGGAGAAATCCAGGACGTTGGACTAGAGTGTAGATGGAAGAGAAGCAGTTAGATTCTGAGCATATTTTGAAAGTAGAAGCCAAAGGATTTGTACTATGAGAGTGACAGGTGTCAATAATTGCAGGATTTTCAGCCTGAGTGTCTGGAAGGATGGTATTGCTGCTGATTGAAATGAGGAGAGATATTTAAGGTTCACAGTTCTAGATGGAGCAGCTGCAGCCCTGGAATTTGGCACAGGAGTTTACCTGGGGTCCCTTCTGAATATATAACCTTCCTGTCAAGTGTACTTTTGAGAAGCCTAGTGCTAGTAATCTGGTTACCCTGAAATCCTGGGAATGCTGACTGCTTTGAAGTTGCTGGGGTGGTTTATAATGGTTTATGAGGTGCCACCTACCATACTCATTAATTTTATCTGTGGGACCAACACAGCTGAATTGATAGTGTGGGTAATACAAACATATGAACCCTATCTTCCTAGGAAATCTTTGAGCTATATTTTAATCATCTCTAACATGGGCTGATACTGAAGGGGTAAAATTAAAATTTTAAGTAAAGGTCTGCCAAGAATGCCCTCTGGAACCAGGCATACATCTCAGGACAAATCTGGTAACAAAACACTTCTTCCTTTATGTAAACCCCCTCTATGCTGCCTTGGTGTAATTGATATAAATATACATTATACAAATATAAATATTATACAGACATAAATTTGTATAATTTAAAATGTAACAAGAGGCCATCGTGGTGGCTCACGCCTGTAATCCCAGCACTCAGGAGGGTGAATTAGGAGGATCTGTGTGAGTTCAAGACCAGCCTGGGCTACAAAGTGAGCTGAAGGCCAGGCTGCACTGCACATAGAGACCTTGTCTCAAAAAAAGAAAAAAAAAAAGAGAGAGAGAAAAAAAAAAGTAACAAGACATTTCTTCCTTTGCATTACCCAGGCTCTGTATAACTGATAGCCTTATGATTTAACTTGAAACGTTTAAACTTCAGCAACCCAACCCTCTAGTCATATATGCCACATCTGTTTTAGCTATCTCCCCGCTTACTTTTCCTTGAAAAGTCCTGAAGCCCATTGGGGCAGGGCTCTGGCTCTTTGGGAGAGATCTTGGTTGTCTGAAGCCAGCATGTGTACCTCCTCTGTGCCGTTTCTTCCCGAATTTGTTTTGTTTTCTGTAACAATATTACAGGGCCATTATGAAAGGTAAATTTAGTGTCACTTATGAACATTAGGTATGGAAATGAAAAAAAATTAAATGAAAAGGTAGAATATAGAATTTTACATGATTATCAAGTTATTAAAATAAGCAAATGGAAAAGGATGGAAATTTATAATTCAGAATAATTAATGGGATAAGATCATATGTAACTTAAAAGTTCTATATTGTGAGCTTTTATAATGTTGTAAGTGGATCCAGGAAATTATTTAAAACTGTCACGATGGTTGATATTCCTGTTTTCAATGATACTGTTCAAAAACCGCTGGTTTTTGTTTTTTTGTTTTTTTTGTTTTTCTTTCTTGGTACTGGGGATCAAACTCAAGACCTCCTGGTTGCCAGGCAGGCACTTAGGCTGCTGAGCTAAATCCCTGGCACCTGCTGTAGTTTTGAGTCACTGGGTAGGTGAACAAAGTTAGATATAATACTGCCTTCTAAAAATACTCTCACATGAGTCTGTCAAAACATGAATTTACTGTCAAACCATTTTTGGAGATGCTTAATAAAAAGGGTTTTAAAATTTTTACATTTGAGGGAAATGATCATTAGGAGCCAGTGCCATGGGCTTCCAGAGTGATCCGGAGGAGGATCTAACACTGCTGCTCAAGTAGAGATCCTCCTTAGCCTTGTTATCTCAGGAGCTGGGCCTCTTATCTCCGATTCCTTTTCAGTCTTTTTAGTGCATTATATTTTAAATGCAGGCCAACTTTCTATTTAAGTGGACTGTTGCTTTTAAACAGTGGTTGATGGTACCGTAAAGTGTAAACAGTGGAGTATTTTGGAGTATCTAGCCAGGGTTCTGGAATTTAGGGAAGCTTGAACCTAAAAACTTGCCTTTGTCTTTTTGTTGTGTGATTTTAGGCACGTTGCGTTCCCTGATCCGGTTTTTTCCTGCTGTGTAAAGTGGGAAGAATAAATTCTCCCTAGGGTTGCTGGCAGGATCAAGTTCAGTGAAGCTCATGAAGTGTTTAGCCTGATGCTAGGAACTTAACAAGAACCAGACAGATAGGAGCTGCTCTTCTTCTGAAACATTGTTATTCACGATGTTAACAGAGGTGGTGGCTGTCTTTTCCATTGCGTGTTTCTAGTACAGAGTAGGTGATGAGTAAAGTATGGGTCTATGAATCATAAAAATCAGGCTGTTCCCACTGAGACTGTTGTAAAAAAGTACAAGCTAACTTTATTTCAGTACCACTTTTTGTTTTGTTGATTGTAATGCTTACCTGGTGGGAGTAACGTAGATTTTTTTTTTTTTTAATACAGGGTTTTACTGTGTGGTGTAGGTTGGTCTTGAACTTGCTTTGTAACTTGGATTGGCCTCAAACTTATGGTGATCCTCCTGCCTAGGCTTCAGCTGGAATTATAAGCATGTGCCACCATGCCCAACTGAAATTTTTTTTGGGGGGGGATCAAACTCAGGACCTCATGCTTGCCAGGCAGGCTCTGTGCCATTGAGCTATATCCCTGGCTACTATTTATGTATTTAATATCTGATCTTTGGATAGCTCTTGCCAGCTGTAGGTAAATTTAGGTTTCTTTGAGAAATAAGAACCACAGTGTTGATAACTATATTGTTTTGGGCAAGCCATTTCCTTTTTTTATCTGTAAAATGAAGAGGCTGAGTTTGATCTCTACTTTCCAACTTTTGAATTTTACTTTTCTTGGTGAGAATGTAATACAGAAGGGTAAATTAACAGTTTGTATCATCTAACTCCTTATTTTAATTGGCAAGTGGGTTGGGAGAACCATCTATATATCTGTCACCATAGATTTACTCCTTCAAATAAAAATCCAGAATTCCCTATAGATTCTTTAAAAGAAAACGTACTGAGAAAAACCTGTGTGCCATACAGTTGACCCATTAGAAGTACGAGGCAAACTCTCAGAAAGAAGCCTCTGCTTTTTAGCTGCTACCCTTTTCTCCCACCCCTATCCCAAACAGCCATTCATCTGTGGTCTCTTGTGTCTGGCGCTCTCTGTTCTGGGTTTTCTAGTAAGGGAATGATACAAATTTTTTTTTATATTTTGGTTTTTAATCCTGAAATACAAGATTTTTTTTCCCATTAGATTGAAATAGTTTTTGTCTTTATTATTTTTCTTGTTGCCAAGACAAAAATATCTAACACTCAAAGTTAAAGAAGGAAAAGTTTCTTTTAGCTCACAGTTTGTAGAGGTTTTAGTCAGCTGGCTCCAAGGCACGGTGGCGTAATAGAGAGGCATCACAGAGCAGGCAGAAGCAGCAGTAGACAAGCAGTGAAAACAGCAGAGTGCCGAAGCTCATTTTCTGTCCCTTACATTCCTTCTAGGCTACCCACCCTTAAGGTGAGTACCACCTCCAGAGTGGGGCACCCTTAATACCAGCATGCATCAATCTCAGCATCACACACCCACGATCCAGCCACCTCTGAGAAGCCCCCTCCTGTGACCACCTGAGGCTTTGGGGGGACATCCTAACACAGCCATAGCAGTTCTTTACTGTGCCTATGGAAGTTTCTGCAGACTGCTCTGGGGTGAGATATTCCATGTTAGTACATTGCTCAGAGAAGAAAGGGACACCCAGGTGCCTTATGAAATCTGAAAGTTCATACAGATTATAAATGTTTTTAGGGTTTTGAAAAGAAAAGGTGGGCACAGCAGGTATTTCTGGGAGCTCAGATTGGGTCTTTGTTGTCTCTGCCATCTTGCTGGTAGAGAGTTGAGGACAAGTTTGCCGTGGGAAAGCAGATCGGGCTGTTCTATCAGAAGTCTGAGTACCAATTAAAGGCTTATAATGCAGGATTGAAGAGACCCCTTTCACCCCTTGAGTGTGGTTGAAAGGCTGCCTTCACTATTCTAGGCAGCCGCTCTTTGAAAGGTTTGTTAGATGCCCATGCTTTCAACTCGCTGCTTTCCTTTCTTCCCCTACAGGGATTAAAGCCTGTGGTTTCCACAGAAGCACCGCCTATCATATTTGCCACACCTACTAAAATGACCTCCAGTTACCCTAAGTATGATTACGCTGGAAAGAACAAAGTTCCAGAGCTGCAGAAGTTTTTCCAGGTAAGGGACCACTTGGGAACAGAGGAGTCTGTGAAATAAATAGACTTTAAAAATTCCTCCGGGAACCAAGTCTTACTCTAGTTCATTACCCAACCTTTCTCTTTAGATAGAATTTTCAGCCAGTTATGGTGGTGCATATCTGTGATAGCGCTCTGGAGGCTGAGGCAGGGGAGCGAGTTGAAAACCAGCCTAAACTATACAAAGCAAGATGATGGCTCAGATCCAAAAACAAAAACAAAAACCCTCTCTTTTTTTGTCTTTTTGAGCAAGGTTTTACTATGCATTTCAGGCTGGCCTTGAACTCACTCTGTAACACAGGCTGCCATTGCCCTTGCAGCAGTTCTCCTGCCTCAGCTTCTTGAGTACTGGGATTACGGGCGTGCTGCCCCCATGCTTGGCTAGAACCTTTTTAGTTTTGATTTGAGTCCTAAATTAAGATTATATTGGTAGATACAGTAACAAGGAAGGGTGGTTAGTGTCCTCCTTGCAGTGAAGGGTTTGTAGGTTTTCAGTGTCTGTACAGTGTAGTTCTTGACCATCCATTGCATGGAGAAAGCATTGATGGGTAAGGTGGCACTTGGTATCATGCAGTACACATTTGTGACACATAGAGTGACTTTTGGCAATGGTTGTCTTTTAGTTGTTTTTTGTTTGCTTGCTACTAAAATTCATAGAGTTGTTGATGGAAGTAGAGGAGGCTCTCTAGGGTTTGCTCATCAACTGAGAGAAGCCAGAGTTGATATCTCAAATGTTACTAAGGTTAATCTACATAGGATCATTGAGAACTTGGTGACCTAAGTCTTAGGTATCATGGGAGTGGCAGAGCTGTGACTACTGAAAAATGTATCAAACTTGTCCTTTGGAGATAGTGTGCTTTTATTTTCATCAGCTCATTCCCTTTATTGATAAGATTTAAGAGGACATTTGGAGTGTTGAGATACAGTGAGAGGAGAGGGATTTGGAGACTACAAAAATCATGACTTACATTATGGAATCTGATTATTAAGTGGGGTTTACCTTACAGGTTTTTAAATTTTATGCTGGGAATTGAACTCAGGACTTTGTATTTACCAGGCCAGTGCCACGTCACTGAGCTGTAAGCCCAGCCTGGGGTTTACCTTTAATGGAAAGAAGACCATTGAATACAAAATGTACTTGAACCTAATTGACCTGACGTAGTGTTTGTTCTCACATGGTCAGAAGCCGAATGACATTTACAACTATCTGGGGAACTTTTCTTGTGCCTGCACATTGTTTTTTAGCTGCTGATTGCCTTGCTTTTAAAAAAGTTCCCCTATGCTTCTTTCCTGGTTGAGCAATATGTAATAAATACTTTAGAAATAATCTGTGGCTTGCTGTTGCTCCAGACTTACTTTGGACAGTGATTTGGACTTAACATACAAATTTTAGCTACATTAAAAAAAAAAAAAATACACCACTAAGCCAGCTGTGGTGGCTCATGCCTGTAATCCCAGCACTCGGGAGGCCGAGGTAGGAGGATTGGTGCAAGCTCGAGACCAGCCTGGGTTACATAGTGAGCCAAGGCCAGCCTGAACTACATAGTGAGACCCTGCCTCAAAAAGACAAAAAACAAAACAAAACAAAACATCAATCACCAATGCTTCAGTCAGTGTTCTCATGGACTAGGGCATTTTGCACTGCCTGTGTTTATGGCTTAGTCTCTCAAACAGAAGTTGCTTCTTTGTTACCTTAAAATGGGAAAGCCTGTCTTCTCATTGTGCCTGTTGCTCCCCGCTTTGCAGAAGCCCGACGGCGTGCCGGTGCACCTCAAGCGGGGCCTGCCGGACCAGATGCTCTACCGGACCACCATGGCGCTCACACTGGGCGGGACCCTCTACTGCCTCATCGCGCTCTACAAGGCCGCGCAGCCCAGGAACAAATGAGGCAGGCAGCACAGGACCCGGTGGCTTTTGGGCACAAACCTTTGAGTTTTTAATTTTTCATTTATCTTCTTCACTTGGATGGTCTACTTAACATTTTTGCAAAAAAGATGAAGACGGAATTTTGGTTTATGAAATACATAGGGCCTGTCGGATGTCAGAGCCGTTTGAAAATTAAAATCATTGTTGAAGGAAGTGCGGCTGTGCTCTGTGTTCAGGCTCCTGATTTCCCTGAGGCTCTGGATGAGAGCTGCGCACTGGCTTCTTAAAGGCCATCTGCGCTGAGGGCCTCAGGGGCCAGGGTTGGTTTTTAAGCATGGCCCGTGAGGCCTTTCTGGAGCTGGATGTGACTGAAGACAGAAGCCAAACAGGGCCAGGCATGAGAAATGAGTAGGCAGTCACCGCGGGGACTTTTCCACCCATCAGTGAAATGTGAATGGAAGTCACTTGCAGCCTGTCTGTGTTCTTTGGGCAGTTTGTTTCAAAGGGCTGTGTGCCTCATCCAGGTGTTCAGTGAACTTTTAGGTGTAATGGTCCTGTGTGTATTCCACTGTGGGAACAGAGAACACTTATTTATGTTGTACTTTAGACTGGTGTCTTGTGTTCTCTTTTATATTTTAAAAATGTTGTGGCTTTAAATCATGATTTATTTTGACTGGAATAAATACATGAATGAACATTTCAGATTTGGAGTTCTTTAAATTCAATGACCTTTAAGACTAATTGCAGAACACCAGAGGTATCTTAAACCCGAGTCTGATTTCTTGCTTTTTTTTTAAAATTTCCCTCTGCAGCCCCACCCTCACCTCCAGTGCTGGGCAGCCACTCATCAGCTTTCCTGGAGGTTTCATGCCTATATCACACAGGACGTGATCTGGGACTGTTCTGCCTCCCTTTATGTAATACGTTAAGGTTTGTCTGTGTTGTGGCATTGTATTGTCACTTCCTCCCTTTTTATGGCTGATTGGTACTTGTGACTCTGTCCCGCATTTCAGTGAGTTGCTCACCTGTTGATGGGCAGTTAATGGGGTGGTTGGCACTTTTGGACTGTGGGGAATAATGGTGCATTGAACAATGGTCAGCAAGTTTGTAGTTACTGGTTTTAGTGTCTTTGAGTGTTACCTAGGAGCGGAACTGCTAAGTTATGTGGTAACTCTTAACTCTTTGAAGAATCGCCAGACTGTTTCCGCCTTAGCTGTAATTTCAGATTCCTCCCAGTGCTTATATTTGGGTTTTGCTTTGCATTCAGGACCCAGGCAAAGATTAATACACTACTTTTAATTTCCGTGTCTCTTTAGTTTCCTTTTATACAGAACAGTCTTTGTATGTTTCTTGACACTGACCTGTTAGAGTCCAGCTGGGCCTGGTGACACATGAGTGTAATCCCAGCATTCTGGGAGGCTGAAGTGAGAGAATTGACATCTCAAGCCTGGCTTGAGCAAGTTAATGTTTTAGTGGGAACCTGCCTTAAAAAAAAAGAAGAAAAAAAGAAAGGAAAAAGAGGGCTGGGACTATAGCTCAGTGTGAAGGTGCAAAGGCCCTGTTCAGTCCCCAGTACTATTAAACATTTTTATCAGGAATTCTTCATAGATGGTGTGGTGTTCTTTTGTCATGCAGCACTTGATGGTCTTGTAGGTTTTCCTTTTCTTGGTGATTTGAAACTAGATAACATAGTAAGTTGTTACCACCACATTTCTCCCAAGTAAGGATATCCTTTCCCTTTTGCAGTAACTAGTCTGGGTTGATCCTCCTGGCTATCTGCTTGAATCTGTTTTATAGATTCCATTTTTGTGCTGGGCATTCATGGCTTCCATCATTTTAAGCTCCTCTATATTTTTTATTGCTATCTGCCCTGGAGTTCCTAAGTGTTATGGATTTAACTGATGGATAACTGAACACCAGCTGAATTAAATGAGCATGGTGCTGAGTGTAGATGTTCCACTTGAGGAAAGTTGCCAGCATAAATAGAGATGTGGAGAAGATGAGCGAGGTGTTGTGGGTTTCTCTGTGTTGCTATTTGAGTCGTTGGTTCTCCTGGAGGAGCTCATCATCTTCCCCAGTGTGAGTTTGACCATTGTCATCAGAGGAGCTCAGGGCCTTGTTGTGAGAGTGGCTGTGGTTCACTTTGAGGGAGCACTGGTCCTTACATCAAGCATGACTTCCTGGCTCCAGCGAGGAGGATGTGTGTTGTTCAGTCTCCAGTAGATACTTGGCATGCTGGCTTTCTGGCATGTACTAGACTGTTATTGTTGGAGGAGTTTGGGACCTCTGTGTCACTGAGGATGGCTGTGGTGCTTTTCAGGGCAGCCCTGGTTCTTACTTTGAGCATGACTTTTCGGCTCCCGTGTAAACCTTCAACCTACCAGCGCAGCTCCTTCACCCTGCTGGCATAGACTTTGTAGCTTCCACCACTGACCTTTGCGCCTTCCCAGGCCGGATCCATAAAACAGACTGGCGTGAGTGCTTCTTGTGGGCTCTAGACCTCCAGTTGGACTCGTGGGAGGCATTGTCATGGGCTCTAGGTTTTCATCTGGACTCATGCAGGACATTGCTGTGGCATCCAGGCCCTTGCCTGAATATTCTGAGTGTTTAGTGTTGTGGACAGATTTCTTGCACTTTCTGTGTTTAACTCTGGGTGCCCTTCATAAAATAGTATTATAAAGTCTGTGTCCTGATTCTAACGGTTCTCTTTATAACCTCTAACTGCAACACTAAACATGGTTTTTGTTGTGGGCACCATCTCTGTAGTTATCAGAGAAATGACTTATGATTTGATTTTTTTTTCTAGAGCCTCATTTCATTTTCTTCATTACCACTTCAGAGAGGCCAGGTGTGTGGCTTTCATGTTGTCCCTCATTGCCCCCTGGTTTGGCTTTGGTGAACTGGATGTCTGGGGTTGTGTCTTAAGTCTCTTCTCATTTTCTTTCCTTTTTTTTTAAGTTTAATTCCTGGGTCGATGCTTGTGTAAATTGCCTGTGATGAGTTGCTGTATTGCTAGTATTTAGGACCTTTAGGAAATGAGTACTTCTCCGAGGTGTCTTCCAAGTATAGCTGGTTTTTGGGTTTTGAATCTGTTGCAAGATCCTACCTCTTTAGTTTGTTCGGGATGAGAAATTGCCTGCCTACTTGGCCCAGCCCCTGGTTCTTTTGCCCTGGCCCACAGAATTTTTTATGACCCTTAGGCTGTCTCAGTCTTGGAGTACCAGGAAGAACAGCTGATTCATAAGAAAAATTATGTCACTTTAGCTAAAGTGGTACCATTGACAACAAGAACAGCATCTAGAAAATGAGAAGCTGAGGTAACCATTGATTTGCCACCTTTAACCATATGAACTAGATTTATGGTTATATAACAGTCTAAAAGAAACCAGAAAATTATATGCAGTAAATAAATCCTTAATATGTAAGTTGTACTCTCAGAGGTTAAAAAGGGTTAGAGATAAAACAGAGGAGTAGAAGAGAAAGAGATTAGAAGCAAGACTGGAGGACAAAGGGGATCATGCAAACTTTGGGAAATGTACAGAAGGCAGGAGGGAAAGAGAAGGAAGAAATAAGAGGAAGAACAGAACAGAAACACGAAGCTGGAAACCACATTCATACTCAGAAAATCAAACAATGAAGGAGAACGACAACAACAGAAAAACCAAAATGAGAGAGAGGAAAAAGCAGAAAATTTGGAAAACAAGTCCACTTCCAGGATTTTCTCTGCTGTCACTGGTAAGCACTGTGTGGAGACAGAGTGCAGGTTTGTTGTGCTTCATCCCAGCAAGCCAGGCGTACTTTATGGCAGGGTGGGGGATAATCTCAGCGAGCCTGTACCTTACGTCCCCTGAAGCTCAGGCTGGTTTCTGGCTTTGAGGCTGGAACCAGATCCAATGGGCTAAATTAGGCTACGACAGTCAGCACACCCTTCTGTGGGCTTGGGAGCCACTGGATGAACCCAGCACTTGTTCTGAGTTCTGAGCTCAGTTGACCCCTCCTTTAGATGGCTCCCAGCCACTCTCTCCCCCAAGAGGACTGAGCCCTCAGCACTCACCCCCAGCCAGTGCAATCCTTCACATCCATTGTTCCCTTCCTCTGCTGCATGTCTCCATGCAGGCCCCTGGGGTCACCAGCCTCAACCATTTCTCTCACCCCGTCCCGACATGATGCAGGCTCTGCAGGCTCCCTCCTTCTCCTCTTCCTCCTCCTTCTCCTCCTCCTCCTCCTCCTCCTCCTTCTCCTCCTCTTCCTCCTCCTCCACTAATGTTTTTCTCTTTACTGGCCCCATGGCCTTCAATTCTTCCTTCAGATCCTTCGTGGGTTCAGGATACCCCCCTCCCTCCCTGTTTTCCTCGACTTACTAGACTCCAGTGTCTGGCTGGGACTCTCGAGAGGCTCTTTCTCTGCTGCTTACTGCTCCTCTGTCTTCATCACTCTGGTCTGTGGGTTGATGTTTTAAGACTTGATGTATCACCATGGCCCGAAGTGCAGATCCTGCCAATGTCCTTTATCTTTAGCAGTTTTACACCCAGTGCTAGTGTCCATCGGTGGTACCTTTTTTAAAATTTTGGTTTTTTTTTTTTTTTTGAGTTAGGATTCTGCTATGTAGTCCAGGCTGGTCCTGAACTCACTGTGTTGCCTAGGCTGATCTTGAACTCTCAGCGATCCTCCTGCTTCAGCCTCCCAAATGCTAGGGTTATAGGTGTGGGGACCATACCCAGCTTTATTAGTGATTCTTGACTAATTTCTTTTTGTTGATTTGTGTGTGTGTGTGCGCGCGCGTGTGTGTGTGTGAGTGAACATGAGCATCCCTTTTAAAACTACTGTAATTTCTTCAGTACCCAACAGCCCTCCCTGTCGTTACCTCCCTGGTCAGTGGCTGCCCTGCCTTGGCTGTTGCATTCTCTGGCCACGCCCTTACCAGTCTGTGAGCATTTTCTTACTTTCTGACATAGGCATTATCTATTGTATTTTCACCTAAATGGTACTGTATCTTCCAAGTATGACTTGTGTCTTAGAGATTGTTCTCCCTGTCTTCTTTCTTTCTTTCTTTCTTTTGTATTGGGGATCAAACTCACAACCTCACACTTGCCAGGCAGGCACTAAATCCCTGGCCCTTATACTTCATTTTTCTGCAATGTATTCCACTTGATGAATGCTTCATCATTTTATTTAACTCCTATGTATTTACTTATTTTTGGTTTTTTGATACAGGGTCTTGCAGTGTAGTTCAGATGGGCCTTGAACTTCCAGTAACTTGTCTGCCTCTGCCTCCCGAGTGCTGGGGTTATAGGAGTGCATCACCTCGCCCACCTAAAGTACTTGTTAAATGTGTGATCTTCTTTACATGTCATCTTACATTTGCATCTGTGTATAGGAGAAGTTCTACACGTGAGACTACAGAAAGGGAACATGTAGTTCCAGGTTTGATGGCCGGGCCTCCTGGGAGGCAGTGCTGCCAGCTGCAGGCTTGGGCGGCCTGTTCTTTTTCACGGCTGCCAACAGAGTGCATTATCAATCCCTGTGATCCTTGCCAATCCAATAAGCAATACAGTTTCAGTTTAAATTACTTCTGTGCTTTAATTAGTGAATATCTTTTTAAAATGTATTTTTTTGTGTTTGGAGGTAGTTTTGTTTCGTTTTTTGTGCACGATCGTGTACTTCGCCCGCTTATTTCCCCATGCTGTAGAGGTCCGTGGTCT